TATGATATAGAAGAGAATTTTAAATAAAAATAACCCAAATAAATTTGTTAAAAACCTGTGCAACTTATATTTAACAGATTTTTATCAGAGAAACATTTAATTTTTTATGTGATCCGCCGTACAGGATGAGTTAGTAAGGAAAAATCTAATTCTAAGCAATTTTAATAATCAATAACTATATCATATCTAATATTATTATCTAATCTATCAGCTATTTAGGTACAGTAAGCAATTTTGTAAACTGATAGTTATTAAAAACTAACAGGTARGTTGTTRGGAAATGATATTCATATTTATTATTTTATAATTGTGCATTTTATTAACWTAATGCACAATCAAYCACAAATTTTCCAATATGGTTTGATATTCATTAGAATACTAAATTGTTGTTTAATTTGTTTAAATGTTGCACTCAACATAATATAGAAAACTCGTGCTAACTACCAAATATTAGCAAATAATTAATAATATGATAAAAATCAAATTAATTTCAAAYTCTAAACATATTTACTAGTGAAACCAGTCATTAGACTAAATGCATTATTAAAATATATCCTAACACATGAGTATAAAAATGTTATTGTATATTTTATGAAAAAAAAAAAAAATAAGAAGAAGAATAAAACGTGGGGGTAATTTATTGATTTGACGTTTTACATATAACATAACTTCATGAAATAAATAARATAAACTTGATATTACTTTGATTCGTTATTTATTTATAAAATAAATACATCGATGACATTAAATTTAGCTGATGGACATGCAATATGATGATTTGTTATGACTGTCTGCACGACCATTTAGTGTAGTGAATGACGAAGAAGTTGTTAGTATGCCTTGTACGGGATTGGCTTGTAAGCTGGTGTTGAGAATACTGGAGCTGGGTAGGCGGCCTTGTAGGCGGGTGCGCTGTACGGGGTCTTGTATGCTCCGTCGATTTTCTTGACRACGGCGTTGAAACCACTTTGGTCGTTGGCGGTGTATTCGACGACGCGGGTGGAACCGTCGGCTTCCAAAAGGCTGTAAGTTCCTTTGATGTTACCGTTGCCGTCAGCGTATTCGGATTGGCTCTTGACATCGTAGGTGGATGGGTCGTTTACGCTGTATTCGAAGGTGTATGGGGCTGGGGCGTATGCGGGCTCTGGAGCGTAGGCCCTTGGCGCCGAGTATGCGGGAATGGCGTATGTTGGTTTGTAAGCGGGTATGGCAGAGTATTGGGCGAGAGCAGAAGCCACGCAAACGGTGAAGATGATCAACTGTTCAATGCAATTTAAAATTAAAAATATCAAATATCAACAAGTTAAATAAAATATTTTGAATTTCAAATAGACTTACTTTAGCGGCCATTTTATTGTTGTTTTATTTTGGTTGTTTAGTTGAATTATTCGATGACTGTGTACACAGATGAACTGATGGTTATGAAGACCAGTGACTCAGTATTTATGCTAAAAAAATTTGTCACAGCATCCCTTCCAATATAAAATTTAGCACAGATGGCCCTATCATTGTGTCGTTATCCAATGACAAGAACCGGTTAAGATGAGACGACTGTGTGGTATACCTACTAGTTGGATCATTATTTTATGCATCTTTTTTTATTTTTTTTTTTTGGTACATTTCTAGTTTTTAAAAAATACAATCATTATCATTCACATTTAAACTAATAAAAAAAAAAAATAGTATTCGATTTGTTTTTGCATTTTAATGTAATTACATATTTAATTTCATTTTAAATACTTGTGGTGGACAAGGAATACGATTAATAGATTAAGTAAGATCATATCTNATAAACTTGATATTACTTTGATTCGTTATTTATTTATAAAATAAATACATCGATGACATTAAATTTAGCTGATGGACATGCAATATGATGATTTGTTATGACTGTCTGCACGACCATTTAGTGTAGTGAATGACGAAGAAGTTGTTAGTATGCCTTGTACGGGATTGGCTTGTAAGCTGGTGTTGAGAATACTGGAGCTGGGTAGGCGGCCTTGTAGGCGGGTGCGCTGTACGGGGTCTTGTATGCTCCGTCGATTTTCTTGACRACGGCGTTGAAACCACTTTGGTCGTTGGCGGTGTATTCGACGACGCGGGTGGAACCGTCGGCTTCCAAAAGGCTGTAAGTTCCTTTGATGTTACCGTTGCCGTCAGCGTATTCGGATTGGCTCTTGACATCGTAGGTGGATGGGTCGTTTACGCTGTATTCGAAGGTGTATGGGGCTGGGGCGTATGCGGGCTCTGGAGCGTAGGCCCTTGGCGCCGAGTATGCGGGAATGGCGTATGTTGGTTTGTAAGCGGGTATGGCAGAGTATTGGGCGAGAGCAGAAGCCACGCAAACGGTGAAGATGATCAACTGTTCAATGCAATTTAAAATTAAAAATATCAAATATCAACAAGTTAAATAAAATATTTTGAATTTCAAATAGACTTACTTTAGCGGCCATTTTATTGTTGTTTTATTTTGGTTGTTTAGTTGAATTATTCGATGACTGTGTACACAGATGAACTGATGGTTATGAAGACCAGTGACTCAGTATTTATGCTAAAAAAATTTGTCACAGCATCCCTTCCAATATAAAATTTAGCACAGATGGCCCTATCATTGTGTCGTTATCCAATGACAAGAACCGGTTAAGATGAGACGACTGTGTGGTATACCTACTTGTTGGATCATTATTTTATGCATCTTTTTTTATTTTTTTTTTTGGTACATTTCTAGTTTTTAAAAAATACAATCATTATCATTCACATTTAAACTAATAAAAAAAAAAAATAGTATTCGATTTGTTTTTGCATTTTAATGTAATTACATATTTAATTTCATTTTAAATACTT